TATGTTCCATGATCACCATCTCTATGCGCAACCATACCTTATAACCATAAGTGATCTAGGGATTTTATCTTAAGTGCAATTATAAGATAAATGCTTTCTCTTAAGATAAAGAAATGCCTTATTCATAATATAATTCCAATAGACTGTATTTACAAGTAGAATACGTCCAATTAGATTGGAACGCCGGGTACCCTACTCTAACATCGTCATCACATCTTTCATATTCGAGATGTACGGGGTCGACTTCGAGAGCTAGGAGGTCGACTTGTGGATATGTGTGGATCCGGAGGCTACGCTCGGATAACTCTCTAAGGTGAAGTCGTCTTCAGAGCGTCATCTTAGTTGAGTCGACTGCTGAGAGTCGACTTAGGATATCGGGATGCTCGGGCGTTATGCTCTTGCTGTTCTTCTTCCATTGATGTCGACTAATGAAAGTTGATAGACTAAGGTCGACTTGGAAGAGTCGACTAAACCAATTTCTGCCTCTTCTCGGTTGCTCTTGGTAGAATCGACTTTAGGGAAGTCGATGTGGGAAGGTCGACATAGTCATGTCGACATGCGAGTTGTTCGAGTGGTTCACCGGTCGAGCAGGGAGCTTCTGGACCGGGTTATCCTTATGTGGCTATATCAATTTTCAGTTCGGTTTTAGTTTGGAATCGCACATAAATAAATAAAAAACTCGCACTGCAAAATGCACAATAATATAAAACACGATGCACAATAATATAAAATATATTTAATATTTCGAAACCCTAAAGTGACGCGCGTCATCTCCATCGCTGACTCTTCGAATTCCGTGCCTCATCAGGGTCGTTGGTTCTCTTGATGATCCAACGGTCCACACCCATCACTTTCTCATATAAATATACTTCAACTTCTCCAGAAACCACTTTTCGCATTCCAAAACTTCCCGTTCTCTCTCATACTCCTTCAAGCTTTCCGGCGATCTGCAAATTTCGGCTTCACCGGCGCTTTCCACTTTCGGCGACTTCCAACCTCCTCCGAACTCAACTAATCCAGTCATCATGTGTAAGTTCTGCTTCTTTCTCTTACTTTTTGTATTTTCGTTGGTTTTTCCTTTTTCGATCTTTTCTGGGTTTTGGAAACTTCTGTGTGTTCTTCGTGTTTCTTCACACCTTTTTCGTGAATCTCATGTTGGATCTTGGATTGTGCATGTTTCGCTTAGATTTGTTTTTTTCGCTTCATTGATTGTCGACTTCTAGGATAGAGTCGACTTTTTCATCTTCTGCTAAGTGTATCCCTGTCGTCTTAGTAACCTTCTCTCCTCCTTTTCTAACCCTTCTTTGTTATCCTCTTAGTCGACTCATGTGGACTTGCTGGTCTATCCTTTGTCGAATTGACTAAGTAATGACTTGTAGGTTTCCTTGTTTCCTTTTGGTATTGATAGAAGTAGAGTCGTCTTTCCATGACTTATGGAAGTCGATTCTGCTTGTGTCTAGTGTGTTATCCCATGGCTTCGCTAATTCCAACCTTTTTCTTTCTTTAGCTTCTGACTCGTCCTCTCTTTCTGGTTCCCTCGGTCGCGAAGTCAACGAGTATACCCAACAAGTCAAGAGGGTTCCAGTTCTGATTCCGTTCAAGTGACTGGTTATAAGATGGTCATGGCGCCTCTTCATGCTTCTTCTCCCCGTGCTTCTGCTTCCAGCGTCAACTGGAATGAGTACAACCAAGCGCTCTTGGCAGGCGGTTTGGTCGATACTTCGAAGAGCCCTTCTCGAGAAGGTTCCCCTCGTCTCGACCTCATTCCTCGAGGTATACCCCTTAGGTTTTTAGATATCCCTGTATATAGAACAAGTCCTGTATCTATACCAATAATCGCTCCTCTTCTCGACTCCTCAAATACTGTATCAATAGCTTGCCCTTTGGCTAGATTAGCTATTCTAAATCCTTTTTGTTATGCCTCTGCAGCCGAGGTCGAAGGCTTCAGGAAATTTAGTGGGCTTCCTTCCGATTGGGAGTTGGTCGCCCCAGGTCCCCATGACGATGTCGCTCATCCTCCCCCTGGCTGCCATACGTTTTTTATAGACCAAGTCGTCTTTGGCCTTCGCTTCCCTATCCAAGGCGAGCTCATCTTGATAAGCAATTTGTACAATGTACCCATAAATCAATTTTCCCCTAATGCCATTCGCATTATGATAGCCTTCATCGTCGTTTCCCGAATAATACTCAAATTCTTTTCTCCCGAGTTTTTCTTCTACTGTTACGGTTACCGGCTTTCCAAAGGCGCCCATTGTCTGGGTCGTCGCGTTGGTGTTACTTTCCTTGACGATCTCTCGTCGAATGTCACCGAGTGGAAATCAAAGTTTGTTTTCATTCGGCCCGCTTCCGGCATGTATCCCTATGTAAATACTTGGATCACTTCAAAGGTAAAGCAGAATAAACGGCCTCGCTCTGACAAGTTTGCCCAATTGTTTTCTGAACTGAATAAGCATACTTATAGTGCTCGCCAGTTAATCAAGGATTGTAATCTAGTCAATCACGCCCGTATCGTCATCTACGAGGATCTTCCTCGTCTCGATGATCCCCGTAAGCTTTTAACATACTTCCTTGTGCGACTGTATAAATTTTGATTATTCGCATCGTGACTGCTAAGTGTTCCTCGCATGTTAACTTCTCTTCTGTCATTATTTCAGTTAAAGCGCTCAAACGTTTCGAGCTGAAGAAGAACCAATCGACCGGAACGTCGG